TATTCCCCGCCTGCGTACTTCCTCCTCGCCCTCCCCCCAGGCCGAAGTGCTGTTTCCCATTGTCCTTTTTGAAGTAGCTGCCCTACAGGCTGCAACATCCTTTTCTGCAGCTGTCCTTGGGGCTTGTCCTCCCTCCCGTTCCCAGCCCCGTTTGAAAGCAGTAGAAACGCACACGGCGTCCAATGACTTTACTTCAGACTGTAGAGTGCATCGTGATGCAGTTATTTTTGGCTTTCTGTTGGCCAGTCCTTTCGTGGTGGTTACTAACAACGCTTAACGCAGTGGTTTGGGTTTTTAACTCGGTGATTTCTTTTCATAACCTTGCGGTACCTGCTGAGAGAGCTCGGCTCTGAGTGGGACTGGCAAGTCAAGCCCGGCTTTGTGCCTGTGACCATCAGGGTTATTTTCTCTCTATAGGTGATACTGCATTTATCTCCGCTTGTCTTTCTGTGGTTTTAGTCACATGTAAGTCATAAGATGTGACTACAACGCACTGCGGTCAGCTGCCCTGTTTTTACAGGATGTGATAGTGTTACTCGTGGTTTTCTGGGAGAGGGAGGGCAGGGAGGTCTCATAGCGCTCTTCGAGGAGGTCTGCCAAAGGTAACTGTCTCCACGGAGTTAAACTGCTCTAAAGGAGGTAAAACTCCTTCCAAAGGTACAAAGAAGCCCTTGGCTTGGCCAGTCAGCTCCCTAACACTTCAGTTCCTGGATGCAAACTGTTGCTTCTGACACTTTACGGATGATGGACAAAACAGTGTTTTCTTCCTTGCTCCCGTTCAATACTGAATCCAAAAGGGTGACAGATTCAGACTTTTCCTGAGAACGTTTTAAGGAAGTGTCACACCATTACACACCGCTCCCTAGGTTTTAGGGCAAACTTGAAGACAAGTGACAGCCCAGTCTATTTTGTCTCCTTTTTATTTTCACTTTTATACAAAAAAAAAAAAAAAAGAGTCTGACATGTCACATCAATGAGAACAAGCTGCGGTGTGCACGCTTACAACAACAATCATATAAGGATTTAAAATATATTGTTTGCAATAGCAACGTTACTTTGCTTTTTCCTTCTTAAATATCACCAACGCCGAATTGCTGAGCTTGAAATTCTTGAAAGTCCTCTGGGATGGTGTCTGAAAACAGGAAAATACATGGAAGTTTAGTCCGTTCTGACAAAATCAAGGAGCGCTTAGATTAATTACCCGCCTGCTCTTCTTTTTAGGTCACATGCCTTCTCTGCTGTTAGCATATTAACAAACGGGGAACGCTTTCCGTTTTAGCTGCGCACCACCGAAGGGCACAGAGAGGCCGACAAGACCGCGAGTGCTACCGTGCCAGCCCAGAACGGAGTACTGTCAGTCCCTCAATTACATTGCCACCCAAAAACTTTGTGGCTCCCCCTTCTACACTTTTATTAATAAATGCTGACCAGAAGGGCAGAAAAGTGGTTGCCCTGCTCCGCACCCCAGATGTGTTTGCAGCATCGGCGTCTCTATTTCTCCTGTATCCCAGCTCAACTTCCCTGTGGCAGTTTCCCACGCCACAGGAAGGGACAGAAACATTAACCAAAGGACCAGCAGCGATCGGTACTAAAACACGAAATTGGCTGAGGGAGCTGGAGGTGGGTCAGTGTTGTAGGAGTCACCACGGTTCTTGTAGGGTTGCATGGGAGTGTGCCTTTGCCAGGTCCCAGAACGTGTTGTCCGGAGAGACGCAGGGCTAACCGTAGGGCTAAAGCTGCAGCCAAAGCTGCAGCCACCACGATGAAGCTCATCTGCGTGACCTCAACCTTACTCTGATTATTTCCACCCTGAGGCAGGACAAGTAACTCCAAACCCAAAAAAATGAAGGAACTGTATAAATACAGACAGTACACAGAAAAAAAAAAATGGGTAAGTCCTGTGCTTCCTGTTGATCACTTTTTCTGAGGCTTGACTTTGTGTTTTCTGCAGATGTAGGAACAGGGATGAAAGGAGGGATACGTGGGGAATCCCGATCCTCCTTTGGGTGGGTTTCACTGACCTACCACAGCGCCTGCAGCAAAGCCACTGCCTGCTCACTGCCAGGAAATTATCTACAGCTTCAGCGGCAGCTTTGAAACACACTTTCTGGGAAAAAACCACTTACCATTTGAGACTCGATTTATTAAGTAATCTGTGTCTAGAAGTTCCCCTGTTTAACCGTGACCTCCAAGCGCCAGCCTGTACCGAGAATCCGTCACTAGATCACGCCGCAGAGCCAGGGTCTGGCCATGCAGCGGCTGAGCCCATGGCAGACTGGGCTGGGCTTTTCAAATCCACAGAAAGCAGACAGGGAAACTATTCCAGCCTGGTGGGTAACTTACTTTCCCCAGGCTGCCCTGGTCACGTAGGGGCTGAGACTGAGGGGGTGCAGCCCCTCCAAGCCCACCTCAAGCTAGCTGAGTACCCTGACATGATCAGCTTCTCAGTGAGAGACCAAGGTTTGAGTTGCTCCATACAGTGGGAGATCAGGGCCAAGCTGTGAGGCTCCTGCCCGGAGAGGGGCGAGCCAGCACGCTCCCATAGCCTGAGATGGATTCTTCCGTGGGAGGAAGGGCATCTTACAATTTTGTCCTCTCACGGACAGGGGCAACCAGCAAGTACACGAGCGACACTGATGCGTGGTGGCTGATGCCAACAGCTGTCCACATTCATTTCCCTGGTAGTCAGAGCTCCAGGCATCCTACGTCTACGATGGCCTTGGTACGTTGCGCGTGTACAGCGCTCACGCTTGGCCGGTTTTAAATAACGTCCCTAATTCTCCGATGACAGCTATACTACTTGGTTGGCACAATCTGCGCAGCAGAGTGGCTGCTCTGGGAGGAGCAGGAGGTGTTAGTTCCTGTCTGGCTGGGCTGCAGCGTGCTGCTGGTGTCAGGGGAGGCGTTTCACAGCTGCAAGTAGCTTGTAAACGAAAAGCAATGGAAAGGGGTGCAAAATGGCTTAATCCAACAGCCACGCTACTGGTGTTTTGTGGTCACTTGCTAGCTGTTAACGAAAATGACGGAAGCACAACATTACCATTGCAGCGGTATTTCAGGTTGGACCAAATAATGTTTTCCTGAGAGAAGCAGAAAACTCCGAGCCGTCCTCCACGCATCGTGGTGTCTATAGTTACACCAGAGTCTGCCACCAGGTCAGAGCCTTCATAAAACCTTGCCCTTAATGAAAGCGAACAGAAGCTCTGTTAGGTCTTTTCCAAGGCTGCAACATTCATAAGGCTGGGGACACAAACATGCCTTGGACGTTCTCCCGTCTAGCCCAGGGGAGCAAAAGCAGTTATGAGAGCTCCCCTGAAGGCTGGGACAGCTCTGCCATGGTGCTGCACACTGGCAGGAACGGGGCAGGGAGGGTGTTGCAGTGGTGGTTGGTTGGTTTGGTTTTGGTTTTTTTTACACATCCTGCAGAAGCCTTGGAATGTTTTTTCCTGTAGTCAGTCAGGCTGCCAGCTTTAACTCTCATCAAATTTACACAGTCGATAGTTGCAGGAGAAAGGGAGAACCAGGTTAGCTCAGTGGAAGAAGGCCAGGTGGATATTGTCTCACACAGTTCAAAGCTAAACTTCCCTTGGTTTAAATAGGCAAAGTTTCAAACAGACCATTTGGAATCTTAAACTTCACTGGGAGGTTTCTTTAAAAATGTGCATATGATTAATTCCAGGAACAGTTTTGGTGATCTGGCATCTTCCTGTTAGAAAACGTACCAGCAAATTCCCAAATAGCTGTGGGAACAGCTGCGCCCCGCCAGCTCCACAGCTTCCGCCTCGTACCGAGGGCTGGAGCGGGAGGACGCTGGAGCCAGCTGAGCTGCTGCAGCACTGTCTGCCCCAGGTCCGGCCTCCGGGGCCCTGGGTACATGACGCGGAGGATGATGCGCCTGGGGAGCCCTGTTCTAGATGAGGACGCTGCTGGGCCGACATGCAGGAAAACAAGTGGTGAAGGGAAAGCTCCTGTGTCTTTTCATAGAACAGGAAGAAAACCACCCCAATTCCTGTTATGTTCCTGAGTTTATTTCCTGATCCACTGAGGCAGTTCAAAAGCATCTGTACATTGAACAGAACTCGTCTTTCACGTTTCCATGGGAGAGGTTGGCTCGAGTGAATTTTTCCTAGGCTTCCTTGAAGCCTCAGAACACCTGTGCTAGACACTCTCTGGCCCGTGGCATCTATCCCAAACAGCCCACAGCCAGCTGCGGACAGAGAGCTGGCAGAGGTCTGCTCGAGGCCTGCCTTGCCTTTGGTTTTTGCAGGATTTTGTGACACCGGCTTTGCCACCTTTCCCCGTTGCAGGGGCAGGGATGTGGCTGGCTAGAGAGGCTGCAGCCATGGGCTGAGGTTGGCTTGTGAAGCAGTTTCACAAAAGAGCTTGGTCTAAACAGAAGCTGCCACCCAAGGTCTGTTCGCTACTGCCCTGCGGTTGGGACACGGTAATCGACAGTATAACCGTTCTTAATCCTTTTTAGCATGAAGGCAAACATGCTCATTCCAATCCCTGTGAAGATGGCGCTCTGCACCAGGGAAGTGGAATAATTATACCATCAAGTTGCTGCATCTCAGCTGCAGGGTGGTGATTTTTGAAAGAACAACTGACCTACCCGTATTCCTGCTCTATGATAAGGTCACAGAACCTGAGCTGATGATGCCAGAGCAGTGGGAGGTTTTGCATTTTAACATCAGCTGTGGTCTCCAAGTGTAATTCTTGCTGATCTAGATGTTGCAGGGTGAAACGTTTCCTCACAAATGGTGATTTTTTTTCTTTTAATAGCAAAATAAGAATGGATAACATGCATTACATAGCGTTGACAAATTTTCTGAATATATGCTATGCAATCTCCCATCTATCATGTCAGGATAGTTACTGATCTTAGCTAGGATCGCAACCGTTAAGTGGACAACTTTTGTTAATTCTGTTATCCCAGGATATGTAAATGAACGATCACAATTCCAAAAACATTATTCTAAAAGATCAAACTTAAGAAATTTCAGAATGCATTGTTTTTCAGGTCAGTGGCCAGCACTACCTTGGAGAACAAGGTATTGAGACCAGAACGGGGCTTATTAGGGTAGGGCACAGTTACAACAGCCGGGTGGTAGAAAATTTCAGTTACAGACAGACTTAGCTTGGAATTGTCTTTCCTAGGAAAAGAACTGCAGGCTGAATTTCAGAGTCTAACCTGTTACAAGGTTTCACCAGTGTAAAACCCAGACATACTGTAAATTCTCAGATTACCATCTGAATTAGCTGTTGAGAAACCACAGTTAAGTCGGACACTGTACTCACCTTATCTGTCCTTGCCTCTCTTACCTGATATAACCGATCTGGGGCCTGTGCTGCAAGAACCAGCGATAGGAGACTTTGTCTTTCCACCCTACATTCCGAGGGTCCTTCCACAGCAGCCTGACCTGATCACTGGTGTCCCCCGTGTGCCAGAGGGAGTTGCGGAGGTGCTCGCCAGGACCTGTCTTGGATTTCACAGCCTGCAGAAATACAATTTTCCAACGCTGACCACAGAGAAATGTCACTTTCAGCAGCCCTAAGTGTTTTTTTGCAGCAGGGAGTGGGTCAGAAGAAGTACCCTTCCTCCTGCTCATCATCCCTAACTTCTCTTGCTTAACCGTAGCCGGCATGGAAAGGCAGCTGGATACCTGGACCGAGGAGAAGGAAGCAATCTGGCCAATCACTGCCAGAGCACAGTGCGAGCAGAGACTAAACACTCCCCACAATGAGCAGAGGCAAGACCAGAGATGAAGTTCCTCACAGAACGTGCTACTTGAAAGGGCTGCGGCAGGGAGAGAACGTCGGTCAGGCAGCACAGTCACAATGGCTTGGACAGTGCACGGCGTGGCGGCACGGCCAGCGCTTGGCAGGGTGCTGTGGTGACCCGTGTTCCCAGCCAGGAGCCACAACCAGTACCTTTAGCTGAATGCCGGGCTCTGCAACAGCTCTGAAGGGAGTCGCTTGCCAGTACGTCTGCTCAGTCTGTTTCCACATCACCACGTAAAAGCTAGAGCTGTCTTGATAACCAAAAATAAAGCCAGCGTAGTCGTCATCTGTCACCGTGTTCACGTGAAAAGTGCCCTCAAAGTCAACGCCGTTAAACGCTGTGTAACCTGAGGATACATGCAGGTTAAAAACAAGTCTGCAGAAAACACTTTCACATGCTGAAGGTTTTCTGCTGGAAAACTCCCGTCTCAGAAGAGGGTACGTACCGACAGCCAGGCCAGGATCACTGTTCATGGTCTGCACAATTTCCATGCCCTGCAAGAGTAAATTCAGGGTGTTTAGCATGCGTGACGAGCTGGGGTGGCTGAGCCTAGCAGCCTCCTGTGGCCTCCCTTTAGCACCCCTCTCCACCCATCTCCTCCATTTGCTCATGTCTATAACACTTGCAGCTCTCAATTAAAGTGAGAACTATAATCAAACACTAGTGTTTCAGCTGCTTGTGTGCCCTAAGTCAGGACGGATTTTCCTTTTCCCGTTGCAGAATTGGTCATACGAGTACTCTGATATTTCTTTACCCTACCCCAACCTTCTTCTGGAAATCACTGAACGTGGACGGAAGTGGAGATGGGACTGGAGAGGGGGTTGGAGCAGAGCTGTGGGAAAGCTCTTCCTAGGCTTAGCTCATACAGTTCCGTCACAGAGTTCAGGATTATACTGACTGCCAGGACTGGAAGGTGTGTCCACCTCAGCTGGCTTGGAAGAGACTTTGGCAAGGGGAACAAATTGCAGATTTCTCGTGACTGAGAACACATCAGACTCCTGAAGGACAAAATTTGTTAGTGCAGTTGTTGGACTCCATCTAGGAGTTAATGCTCTGCTATACAACAGGTCAGACTTTCAAATCCTGGGAAGGATTCATGAAACTGCTACCAAAATACATTAATAGGGTGACACAAAACTCTCATGTTTGCCTTCTTAGAAGCACTGAAATCCACCCAGACCAGCCTGCAGTTATGTTAGATTATTAGGAGAGCCAAGCTTCAAGCTACCCTACGCTAAAAGAAAGTTATTTCATTTTAATTACTGTAAAATAGTCAACCAAATACCAGCTTCCACATTTCACTTGTTCGCCAGAGGTCCAGCAATTACAGAGACAGTTTTACTGTCGTTTTCAAATGATCTTTCTCAGACAGGTAAGAAAGACTAAACGTGTTCTCACCTGGTTCAGAACCACCCAGTTGGGATCAATCTGCGCATCCCCCTCTGGGTCCAGCACCACTGTCTGATAGGCCCTGAAGTCTGTCAAGGTGATCTCTGCGTTCTCAGGGCACACATCGATCCGATCAATCACTGTATCCTGGTCAAAATCAGACTCACAGATATCCCCGACTCCATCACCTGAATGCATTGGAAAAGTGAAAGCAGATTCACGGTGCAGCCAGTAGCCAGATCTGGCTCTGCCACTGGATCAGGGTGTCTGAGGAGCAGGTGGAGTCTCAGCCCTGATGGCCGCAGTGCCCAGCGAGGGGACCTGAGGACCTCTGCCTTGGCCAAAGGGCCCCTGCGTGCTGGGGCCTTTGCTGGGATGAGTGCATGCACCCGTGGTGACTGTCAGGTCCCGGTGTGGTATGTAGTGTTGGGGGAAGGATGTCGTGCCTAAGCACTGAAACGACTCCTGAGGGCCCATCTTACCATTATCATCTTCCTGCCCTGGATTGGGGACCAGCCTGCAGTTGTCAGGGCCTGGGGGCAAGAGGTCAGACATCGTCCTCATCACACTCATCACCCAATCCATCCTTATCCGTGTCCAGCTGGGAGCTGTTAATGATGGTGGGGCAATTGTCTGTGCTGTCCTGGTGCCCATCGCCATCACTACGAGCACAGAGACAAAAAGAAATGGCATGCCAGCATCAGTTCTGCCTCTGCAGGGGAACAGCAGGAGTATCTGGGCCGTTAAGGCACCGGAGGCATCCCTGGAGCTGGAAACAGACATCACAACCTGGCGTTGCTCCGGTGGCTGAACAGCGAGGAGACAAGGAACAGGGAAGGTGGCAGGGAGATGAAGGCTAAGCCTGGAGCTATAAAAATACTCAGACAAGGAAAAGAAAACACTGCCTTGCATGGATTGGGGAAGAGATACCAGAGCGCAAGATCCCAAATGACATCCGCTCCTGAAGGGCAGGCAAGGCACATCCAGTGAGTGTCACCAGCCAAGAGGCACCCAGGAGACAGCAAGAGCTCAACAGCCAGTGTCCCTCGTCACGCATGTTGTCCGCAGGTGTGCTGGTGCTCATGAATGTGCAGGTGTGAGTGTGAATGAAAATTCATGGGAGACTCTGCACAAGCACCTGAAATGAGACTTGTTTAAAAACAAGCACCACTTCCCCTCTCCTGCGCCACGAGTCGTGTTACACTACCGTCCCGCACGGGAACTGCACAGAGAGAAAGGGAAGTCTGCAGCTCCCAAGCACCCCTCCTGCCCATGGCTGCATCGGCTGGTTGCAGTGAAGTCTCACCAGGAATGGGGACACAGACTATAGAGAAGGGTTTGGGAAGTTGTGGGGTGGCTGCATTGTTTCTCCATGCCGACAGTTAAGTGCAAAGAAACGGCCTGAAGCCAGGTGTGTTTTGCACACACACTACAAACACAGTGGTTTCTGGCGACAAGGAGGCATGTTTCCCCTTGGCGGCTTTTTGCCTAGCACAGGCAGCGCAGAAGTGGCACGCAGCCAAATCAGGGCGGTGCTGCAGCTCACAGCGGTGCATATTCCCACCTACCTCACCCGTCTTAAGGAAAGTGCGTTAGTTTTAGCTCAGAGCAACTGAGGTCTGCACAGCCTTGAGGTAAGATGCGATGAGGGCCATGCACATGTATCTGTTGCAGGGTTAACCTCAGGCAGAGCTACAGCATTTCTACTAGGAAATGCTTCACACACATTAGGTCTGTGGAAAAAAGGAAAACATGTCCTTTTCTAAAACAGGAAAAAAACAAGGCCCTATCTGCTTCAAACAGCTCCCAGCTGAGGGCCTTGGCAGCTACTGCCCCAGCACTGGGAACTGCTCCCTGCTGAGGCAGGGAAGTGGGCTCCCCACTTTCATTGTCCCAGACTGCAGCCCCCACCAGCAGCCCTGAGGTGCAAGACCTTGCAGCTTTCGGAGGCTGGTGAAATTCTGCGGCAGCACAGAATTTATCACTTCCCTTTCCTCTTACTTTAAGTGAGGAGCACAGGGGAGGACTGGCCACCCTCTAAGCTGGTTATGCCAAAGCTGCCTCCAGCCAGGCGTCAGCAGTTTGTCATGGGAGGTGCTCCCCTCAATGCTCAGGGACTGTAAAAGCCCTGGAGGAGCCTTGCCACTCCTGCTGTGCTAAAGCAAAGGGGTTTCTCTGCTAATGGTTTACACTTGATTGTAAAATTCTGTCTCTGAAACACTAGGTTCTTACGGAAGAACATACTGCCCTTAACTGTGAAGTTTCTGCTAAAGAAGAAAAGAAGGAAAAGAGGAATGAAAAATAAAGCAAATAAAAAAGAAGCAGCTTCACTAAGAAGCTCTGAGCTGTGCTCTGGGGTTTACAGCCAGAGAACTGCTCTGAAAGTCACTTCCACAGGAAGCCTGTGTGAACATGGGGCTCAATAAAGGTGAGGGGCTGTGTACCCATACTGCTCCAGGGGAGTGGGCCAACAAGACTGGTAAATCAAAACACTGTGTTTGAAACAACATCTCTTTGAGGAGTTAATGGAATTAAATCCAGGCTAGTCTGAGGGATTACAGCTCTCTGGGAATCAGTAGTATGCTTGCTCAAGAACAGCCTCTTCCACTTCCCTCCTGCTGTTCCAAGTCACAACACAGCGTACCTGTCCTGATTGGTATCGCAGGAGTCTCCAACGAGGTCATTGTCAACATCCGACTGCAAAAGGAAAAGGAGAAAGTTCCAGTGTCAGCTACTGAGAGCCTCTATTAAAATGTCAGTATTAAACCAAAACACAACCAAATCAAATACAATCAAAATAACAGCATGAAAAAACCCATTTGTTTTACAAAACATACTTTTTGTTTGCATCATCCATCTAACCAAAAAGTCAGTTTTATTAAAGGAAAGAAAGCAGTCGATAAATAAACTGGGTTAATCATGGTTGGAGCAATTCAAGCAAGATTATTCTACTACTGGAAATAAATATCCCTCATTTCTAACTAAGGTTTATTTCTTAAGCAGCTTTAAAAATCTACCACGTTCCTCTAAAGTTTCCAGCATTTTTTGTTAATCACAATGGTCTTAATTATAATTCAAAACATACAAAAAGTCTCAGTGACTTATCACCTGTGTGTAGTGAAAGTTTTGCTAAATAAGGACACCAGGATTCTGTCCTAATTACAGAAATACCAAGTGTAACTAAATCACACCACTGTGTGGAGTCTGGCATGGGACTTTGTGGGACTGGAGCATGTCCACATTTCAGAGCATGACAGTAGAAGATACTGGCAGGGCAGAGGTGCAAACAACCTCCCAAGCTATGAGAATGCACCTGGTGGCTCCTCTTTCCCATGTCAGGAGAGATTGAAACTCCATTAAGCTTTCTCAAATACCTACTCTTAAAAGGTAAATACTGTGGCTGCATGCACTGCCTCATTCTCCTGCATCTTTTTGGACCTCAGCAATCCCTCTCCCTAAATGAGGATGCCTGCCTACCTGGTTTGGGTTGCTGATTGTAGGACAGCTGTCACAGGCATCACCAACACCATCATTATCCTTGTCCTCCTGGTCCTCGTTGGGGATCCTCTGGCAATTATCCAAAAGGTTCTTAATACCTAGCAAAAAGTAGATTGGATGTTAGTTACAAATAATTCCTGTATTTGTTATAGGGCAACATAAACATCAAGAACAGCAAAGACACTGTTCCTTTTCAGCAGCTGCTTAATCTTGCAATGACATTATAAACCTGCACAGCAGATCTTTCTCATGTACGCATCCAATCACTTAACACAAGTTAGAAACACCTTGCTGAAGAACAGCTTTCAACCCTGTCACACACACACTTCATTCATCTCACACAATTCATCACAGCTTACAGGATGGGATGTTCCATCTTTGTTAGTACATTTGAAGGGTTGTGATTTTTTCACTTCTTCCAAGCCTCCTACAGCAATGAAAATCACACATTATATAGCTCTGGGGCTTCTGGGACAGGCAGCAACTGGGTATGCTGGGACATGTTTGCACCTTTAAGGAATTACTGAATGGCTAATGACCTTAACTCATACGGGAAACATGGCTTGCTTTATCTGTTACAGTGTTCAGTGCTTCCCATGGAGGCTAAAAGACATATAGAAACGAGAAGGATTCCCAACACAGGTTTCATGAGGAAAGACAGTGTGTTGCATGACACCTAGAAGCTGGTGGCACGAAATCTTCTAACACACCACATGTTCTGGGAAAGTTTCACTAGCATCAGAGAAGCTGGAAGTGAAGAATTACCAACCATCTCCATCCATGTCATCGTCACAAGCATCTCCTTTCCCATCACCATCTGTGTCCCTCTGGTCATTATTCAGGATATTGCGGCAGTTGTCACAAGCATCTCCAAAGATATCTTGGTCGCCGTTTCTCTGGTTAACATTGGGAGCCAAGACACAGTTATCCTGCAAGAGACACAGATCCAAATCCAACATAAGCCAAGCCCCTAATCTTTAATTTCTACTTCAGTTGCTTTATATAACATAGTATACAGTGGTCATTAAAAAAAATGATTACTGTAAGCAGTTTGACATTTTACGTGAATATTAGCTCTGGATCAGATTTCACTGGACACCTCTAAGCTCTGCTTGGAACCACACTGTGGGAACCCTGAACATAAGCACCCAACATCATAAGGCTTTATTTGTAACTTTGACTTCTGATTCTCATTTTGTATATGTCCACGGTAGCCTGTTTTGGTGCCTCGGCTTCCTCACATGGCCCTTCTCAAAAGCTGCAAGGCAGAGACCTTGACGGGGGTTTGTAGGCGCTCTCGGTGAAAGGCGGTTGCCCTCTTCTGGTGGAGACTCAAACCAAAGCTGACACATTTGGGAAAACAGGACTTTCTGATGCAAAAAGGCACAAGTCTCATTATTTTGTAAACGAAGCAAGACCCTTTAAGACCATCAGGACGCATATGGAGGAACCTTTGTTTCAAAGTGGTGTAAACTTTCCCATCTAGCACCCACATGACCTCATTCTCTTGTACACATGGAGGCAGAACAGAGCTTAGCAAAAATACAGAAGTTACTTGATTGGAACAATGCTGAACCTGCATATAGATTTAGAGCTGAAGGAGGATTTACCATCTTTACTTGTCGCACATGTAAAAACCAGTTGCTTTAAGCTACCAGAGTTTAGGCTTGGCCTCTGAGGCAAAACAGCCTGAGACAGACCTTTGTGACTGCTAGTCTGCCCTAGCTCCACATGCTTGTTTTGTACTCTGGACAGAGTGTTCTTGCTGTCTTCCTTGGAAGTGCATTAACAGTTCCACAGAAGAATCTTAACGTGGGCATGTGAGGATACGGGGTGCACACAAAAGAGCTTTTACAGTCTGAATTTATTCTCTGATATATTCTGCAGTAGTTACCAGCATGGAAACCTATTTTGCTTTGAGAACATGGCTCAAAGCTTTTTCAAATCATTGGTGAAACACCCATTAAATTACGTGGGTTTTGGAGCCCTGTGTGATGTCAGGTCAACCTGCTCGTTAAAAAGACACTAATGCAAGTAATGTTCCTGAAGGCTATGCTGTGGGGGAGCATGACAGGAGGACACAAGTTCTGTATAAAAAAACTCTAGAATTCAATGTTAAAATGTAATAAAGGAGGAAACACCAGTGGGATTTAAGGCTGGGGGAGACTGCCTGAGTTTTTTAGGTCTTATAATAGCCAGCATTATATAAAAGAGAAAGACAGGATTTAGACAGCTGCTGACAGTATTGGGTATGGGATAATCTCTGGCGTAGAGTAATGAGACAGATTCCAAGTATCACTGCCTGTTGCAGTAATGTGAAATCCTTCTGTTTGCACAGACCCCTGCACCCTGATCTGTACACAGCACCTGCTCATTGGGAATGCCATCTCCATCTGCATCATCATCACAGGCATCTCCAATCCCATCACCATCGGCATCTTCCTGTCCAGAGTTTGGGACAAATCTGCAATTGTCCTGGACAAAAAATGAGACATGTCTGGTGTTCTATTGGTAAACTGGATTCCTTCATAATCTGAATGACTCTGAGTAGTGTTTTAATTAATCGATTAATTGAATTAAATACAGTGTATCCAGAGGAATTTAATAACTTGAAAAAAGATTAATGCATCTAGTTATGTTTCTTAATCCTATAATAACTCAAAGCATGAAGGGCTGAAGAGGAACAGTGGAAGAAAGAATTTCTGTCTGCAAGAATTGGGCTTGTTCAGCCTGGAGAAGAGGAGGCTCCGAGGAGACCTCACTGCAGCCTTCCAGTATCTGAAGGGGGCCTACAAGGGTGCTGGGAGAGAACTTTTTACAAGAGCCTGTAGTGACAGGACAAGGGGTAACGGGTACAAATTGAAAACAGGGAGGTTTAGATTAGATATCAGGAAGAAATTCTTCACAGAGAGGGTGGTGAGGCACTGGAAGAGGTTGCCCAGAGATGTTGTGGATGCCCCATCCCTGGATGTCTTCAAGGCCAGACTGGATGTGGCTTTGAGAAACCTGGTCTAGTGCAAGGTGTCCCTGCCCATGGCAGGGGAGTTGGAACTAGATGATCTTTAAGGTCCCTTCCAACCCTAACCATTCTATGATTCTATGTTTCTGTGATTCTTACCTTTCTGCAGTTTTCAGCAGAGCATGAGAGTTCTTCATTAGGGTAGCCATCAATGTCAACGTCTTTTCCACAAATATAACCATCACCAGCCCATCCAATGCCACACTATCAATAAAACACCATGGCAGTACTACCAACAGGTTAATGAGTCACTGTAGTAATCTTCAAGAGGGAAATGCCACATCAGTCTTGAAAACACTAACATACAGAAGGCCTGGACAGACACCGAAGTACAATGAAGTACACGTAGGCATCTCTCCATGTGGAAAGCAGAAAAGAGGAAAGACAAAAGAGGAAAGACAGCTAGAAAGAGGTAAGACATAGAACGTGTGCCTGCAACACCTAATGATTTAGTGGGAGGTATAGATTTCTCTTAGACACTGGTCAGGAATCCATTTTGGTTCCATACCTGCAGGTGGAGAAAAGTAAGAGTGGACCTAGGCAGAATATGCACCTGGCATCTCAGCCAGGGCCCCATGGTTAGATGGGACGACTGTGTTTTGTTCAGTATCTCAAGAACACATCTGCCACTGGGGAAGGTTTTAAGAAAAAACTGCACTGACAGTTATTAAGTTTGCATCAGCAAAGCAAGCGCATCTGCACACAAGTTTCTCCCAGACAGCTAAGTTGGTACTGTTTCAAACCAAATGCTTAATTTGTATTGTAATTGAAGATACATGCATAGAGCTGCATGTCAAACCCTGGCATCCCCTTAAAATGAGGATTTGCCTAACACAAGTATCTAGGCATTTTCCTATTGCAGCATGGACTTAAAATATCCTGCATTATTCTTCTTTGAAACAGATGTATTTAAAAATGAGACCAAAGCAAATACCAGCAAAAGCACGTACTGTATCCAAATTAGGACACAGGATTAGTCTCTTGCTTCCCCTTGCAAGCTGGAAAAACTGAGTAATATGCTTCAGTTAGACTCTTATAAGGAAAGTTTGTATGCCTCTTGGTGCTTCTCTGCTCCCATGGCTGGAAAGCACTGTACAGCCTACCTGTGACTAGAATCTGTGGTCTCGCTTGGAAAAATACCATCTCTATCAGCAGGCAAACACAGGCATGTTGGGTATGCGAGAGGGTCCCTACTCAGCTATGTAGCTGAGCACCAGGAGAGGAATTTGTCTTGTGCTGTCTTCTGTAAAGTGACATTTGACAGCCCTTTCTGAGGAGACTATAGAAAGCCTATAAAAGCCACTCTCAGAAGACCTAATCACACAGATGCAGTAAATAAGGTACATGAGTATGGCTGCCTTACAGACATGCTGCAAGAAGAAAACAATTGCAGGATGGGCTCAGCCCAGTTATTTTCATAGGTGGTCTGAGCCAATGTGCCACAACCTGGCTACAGCACCCAGCTGTATATAATGACCACAAAGACTTTCCCAGTTCCAGCCCAAAAAAGGTTATTTTTCACTGTACAAATGCATGAATTTATGAACTCACAATACATGTCACCTCTCCTCTCCTTTCCTCAATGCATCGGGCATGGACACTGCAGGGGTTGAGGGCTCGATTTCTGCAGCTCCTCTCAGCCTGGCATCCCCTGGCTTGGTCTCCTATATATCCTGGTTTGCACTGCCCACAGCGGTAAGACCCCTGTAAGAACAAAAAGTTAGCAGCCAGCCTTTTAACAGGACTTTTTCTTTTAAAGCAAGCATGTGAGCAAGATTCATGTCACACTGCTTATGCCTTGCAGGTGTAGTTTTTCATCCACTGAGGCCTCTTGCACTGCAAACAAACTTTATCTCTACATGAAATTCAGGTTTGGCTCCCACCGTTCACACTGGAAAACTTGTTTAGACCACCTGTTTAGACCAGCCTTTTGTTAAGTCACACAGCAGCAAAAGCTTCTTCATGATGCCTTATCCCTGCCAGCATCACTCTGAGCTGCTTCCAGGTGGCCAAAACTTTGTATAAAATTCTAAGCAGCCCCTGCTTAATCAGATTGGATGCTTTTCTTTCAGTGTAAACTAGACCCATCAGTTTATCTAAGCTCAACTGGCCACAACTTTTAATCTCGGAGAGACAAGAAAGTTCATCATCTCTTTGACCCTTCTTTTCTTTTTTTTTTTTTAACTTAAAAGTTTTTAAGCCAATTTGAGCTAAATCTTGTTCATCAGAAAAAAATTCAGGAGTTGAAGACTCCATCACCCTCATTTACACTGCAGTAAGAACATCCATGTAACCCTTTGCAGTGATTCACCTAGATGCATACACACATATTTTATATTTGTGCCCCTGTCCTGTGTAAACAAACCCAAAGGAGTTAAGCCAAGGAATCTCAGTGTGTGCTGGGACACTCACTCTATGGGATATGAATGGATAAATGCTGATAAGAAGGGGTCATCTTTAGGTATATGACATGGCTTTTGTCCATTTCCTATATTTGTAGATTTGTAATCTGTGACATAAAAGTTAATTGAAAACTATCTTTTTTTCCTTATAGAGAGTAATTTTTTTGACATGTCAAGGAACAGAAGCAGGCAGATCTCTGACAAACATGCACATCCATCCCTTTGTGAAACTGAGGTGCTTCACACAACTTCCCTCTTCCCATACAAAGCCTGTTGGAGGAAGTTCCAGGATTGTCCCAGCCCACTATGGTAGAGAGATACATTTACTACCCAAAAGGGTGTTATTTTTGTCCTCTGTTCCTATCTTCATTCCAAACAGTAACTCTGTGCTGTCTGCATACTTCCAGGCTAAATATGAAGATACACAGATGACTGAAGTGTAATCACTAGGCCATGCAAATGGTACAGCCCACGTAAAGCATACTGGCCCGCACACTTTCCTAATAGACACTAGGGTAATATCTTCACGAGCCTGCTGAATTTGCTCAGTATATTCTGTCCTGTATCAAGTGCTGGTATGCATTGAAATAGCCTTCAAGGCAGCACTTCCAGACCAAATTGTTTCTAAAGGGAGACTGGAGAAAACACCCACACTGCTGTGTTTTGACAGATGGCAGGCCACTTGTTGCCCTCTCCAAACAGCACCTGATGGCCTCCTGAAGAGGACTAGTCGTGTCCAGTCATGCCATAAAATACCGTGTGACAGAAATGCTCTAGATATTAAAAAAAACCCCACACAAAAAAACC